TTCATACATGCACACACTCACTTCCTGCCAATTCATATCTAGGACTTTTATCGCTTTTCTCTCTCTCTCTATCTATCTCACTCTCTCTCTCTCTCTCTCTCTCTCTCACACACACACACACACACGCACACACAGGCACACACATGCAGACACCGAATCTCGCCAGTTCATATCTAGGATTCAATTTATTGCTTATCTCTCTCTCTCTCTCTCTCTCTCTCTCTCTCTTTCACACACACACACTCACACACATACAGGCACTGATTCCTGCCAGTTCATATCTAAGGATACAATTTATCTCCCCCCCTCTCTCTCTCTCTCTCCTCCCTCTCTAACTCCTGTAATGATGCTCCATGATTTGAACATCTTCTGGGACTCACTCCAGACTTCAAATTTCTCAGTTACCGACCACCTCGTTTAGCAACCAGGCTGTTAAAGAGGAACACAATCGTTAAAAGAGGAGTAGCCGACATTCTAGCCGACATTCTTATTATTGACTATAGTTTGTCATGAATTATAGACTTTAACCTTAGATATTAAAATCCAAAGGCGCATTGGCATAGCCAAAGACGCTTTTCAAAAACTAAGCAGAGTACTAAGAAACAGGAAAACTTCGTTAGAAAGAAAGAAAAGGGTACTGAACTCTTAAGTCATATCTGTCCTCCTATATGGCAGTGAATGCTGGACAATCTCCTCCAAAATGAAGACTAGACTTGAAACAACAAAAATATGGCTCTACAGAAAGATGCTGAGGATACCATGGGTCGAATATGTATGTAACGACGAAGTTCTAGATAAAATGCGAACAAAAAAGAAACATATTAGCATCAGGAAAAGATAGCTGAAATCTTACGGACATAATGAAGAAAGAGAGCTTGGAAAATCTGATACTCACAGGGCAAATTGAAGGCAAAGGGACAGAAGAAAACAACATGTAACATAATTAGTGAGCTTGACTAAGTGAGTGGCGGAACAGGGTTTAGGATTAATAAGAAAAATACAACATTTAAAAGAGCTACAAAGGACAGGAAGTTGTAGAGAGCCATGATCGCCTACATCCTGAGGGAACACGGCACATGAAAAAGAACATGAATTTTGTTCACTTTTAATCTTCATAGAAGATATAGAAGTTGTTTAGTTATCTATCTATCTATCTATCTATCTATCTATATATATATATATATATATATATATATATATATATATATATATATCAAAATGTATGTGTGTGTATTTATTGTGTGTGTGTGTATGATTGGATGTTATTTATGCGTTTCCAGAGTTTACATCTGATTTCGATGAATTTTTTTGTTTGATAGATAATTCTTCAGTGCCGGTTTTGAGTTCAAATTTTGGCGACAATGGATCTCCACTACTTTCTATTCTCAGCAACGTTTTACTATTTACTATCTATTTGTTCATGGTTATATAGCTTTCATAAAGACTTTAATAAAAATAGTTTAAATTATTACAATAATATTATCTATAAAATTCTCAAAATGTGTGTATATATATATATGTGTGTGTGTGTGTGTGTGTGTGTGTGTGTGTGTGTGTGTGTGTGTGTGTGTGTGTGTGTGTGTGTGTGCGCGCGCGTGTGTGTGTGTGTGATCGGATGTTGTTTATGCGTCTCCACAGTTTTCATCCGATCTCGATGTATTTTTTTTGTTGTTGTTCTTGTTGTTTAATGGATAATCCTTCAGTGCCGGTTTTGAGTTCAAATTGGCTGGAAAAATTACAACATTGAAGGTAAAAAAATTTGAAAAAACTGATTTTTTTACACTTTGCGCAAAAAGCAAAAGCAAAATTTAATTTACTTTTTCACACATAACCTTTCAATCGTATATGCTGTATGGGCCTCCATACATTGCCCATCAGTTGCTGCTGACCTTGATAATTAGCGCGTGTACCTCTGGCCATACAACACGCGCTGTGTCACACGATGTGTCACGCGCTGCCCAAGCGCATACGCATTACCTGCGGAGCGCGAGACACCTGTTCGATCGCTATACCCAAGGATTAAAATGAATTTGCATAAATAGAAAATGTTTCTTGACGCTTTCATTTTATCTTTAATTGAAAGCTAAACGATTAAATTTACTATTTCCAGTAAACATAATAATCTGATGTATTTCAAATAGAGCTTATAGGGATTTGAATCGATTTGTAAACAAAAGTTAATTCTCGGTTCTAAAAATCTTGAAAAAATATTACTAAAATTGTGAACATTGATAATAGCTAAAATGAGAAAACTACAAATGCGAATGAAATAAAGTCTAAAAATAATTCAATTAAAAATTTGATTTAAAATTAAATTCAAAGTTTCAAAACAACTCTAACGAAAAAAAAAATGAATAAAAATGCTTAGGGAAACTGGAATTCAAAACAGTAAAACTTACTTTAAAATTTTGAAGTAATGATTTTCATAGCCTGTTGTGACAGAAATGAAATGACCGAATTCCAGTCACAAAAGTCGAGTGGATTTTCCCAGTAAGGAAATTCAAGGTTTCAAAACAACTCTAAAAAAATTAATTAGAAAAGAAAATTAAATTAAAAACTAAAAAATATGTTTATGAAATATAAAACTAATTTGAAAGGAAATTGCAAAATGACATGCAAATTAAAAAATAATAATTTCAAATAGAAATTTAATTAGAAAGATAAGTTAAGGTAAAAAAATTTCTTTCTAGAATTAGGTTCTAATTATATAAGCGAAACTAAAAATAAAATTAATTAATTGAAGTATGACACACATTAAAATAAAATGAATACATAAAATAAAAATAATTAGTGAAACGGGACTTCAAAAATGTAAAACTTATTTTAAAATTTTGAAGGGACTATATTCAAAGCCCTTTGAGACACGATGAAACACAGAAATGAAATGAACGAATTTCACCCTTAAAACACATGGCCTTTTAACGATAGTGTTATTTACAGGAAACCCTAAAAAAATTTTCTGAGGCCAATATAATTTTTCGAAATTTCATGAACTGTTATATTTCTTTGAAAATCGCCGTTGACGGCAAATGGGAGATGGAGGGGGTGAGGAAAATCGCAGCCAGTGAGACGCCGAATTCAGATCAGTACTGAAGAGTGTAATGGACCGACTAAGTAACTGAGGAAGGAACATACAGAATTATAATAAGATATTATTAGTAAAGTAACAAAGTAAATATTTGTTAGTATATCGACATCTAATTATATATCAAATAATAGCAACACAGACGAAAAGATTTACAGAGGAGCAACTGAAACCATTTTTAAAGAAAGATTTAATAATCATATTCTGTCTTTTAAAATAGCTAAATACGCAAATTGCACAACATTGAGAAAATGTATAGAGTCAAAAACAAAAAAAGTATGCCTACTATAGTTAAATGGCAAATTATCAAAAAGTACCCCCATATAATATTACCAGTAGGAATTGTAGATTGTATTTGGAAGAAAAATTAATTTTTAATAATCAAATTAAATTATTAAATAAAAAGAATGAAATAATGGGTCGATGCCGACATATAAACCACAACCTCTGAAGATTGGAAATTTTACCAAGAAACATCGATGTCGGGATAAAATTGACATTTAAAAGTTAAGTAATCTTTTCATATAATAGCATTAATGTTACAGTTTTTTGTGTATATGTATGTATTATGTAACTAGTGAGTTAGTCCAAATGCCGTGACTCGCTTTATAGTCTACCAATAGAAGGTTAACCAATCAGAAGACGCAGAACATTCTATCCGTCGCGTATAAAGGCGGCCATTTTTGTTTACCTTACCCGAATGACCAGTGCCAACTTGTCAGTCGAAGATGACAGAAGGAAGTACTACGCTCTGCTACTTTGCTGCGATATCCACTGCTAACCTGAACTACGCTTTCCCACTGTCTTCGAAATATTCACTGCTAACCTCTGGATTCTATACTCGAAGACGACCGTCATAAAATGTCTAACAATTAACTCTCTATTTTTAATATTATTAGTTATATATTGACCATTATTTGAAATACCCTTTTCGCAGTAAAAATTACTGCCATGCCACTTCCACCGAATCGAATCATTCTCATTTCCACGGGGTTCTATAGTTTGTTTTTTTGGGGTTTTTTTTTAAGCATTTCGCCCCAAGCAAGGCGGGAAGCCACTAGGACGCAAGGGGTTACAGAAAATAGCAAGATCAGATAGGAGTGATAGAAGAAAGGATGAAGGTAGTGGATAGATTAAGGCAACTGGAGATGTCGATTGACATTACACTTGAATAGCTGGAGATTATAGCTCACAGGGAAACAGGAGAAGGGAAGGGAGTTCCAGGCGAGAGGTGCGAGACATGAAGCTATTAGAGTAGAAGAGACGGCTACATTTAGGAGTTTCGACAGTGAAGGGGTGAGAGCGGGATGCCAGCCTCGTAGGGCGCTGGAACTCATGAAGTCTGGGAACCAGCGAATGCAGCTCCTTGGAGCAATATCCATGAAAGTATTTGTAGAACAGACAGAGGGAGGCGACGGCGCGTCTGTGAGAAAGTGACTGTAGACGAGACGCCAGGGCAGGGCCAACCATATTGCATATCCGCTTCTGGAGCCTATCAAGCACCCCGAGGCAAACAGAAGGGGCGCCAGACCATATATGGTAGCAATACTCCATGCAAGGGCAAATTGTGGATTTGTATATCTGGAGGATCGACTCAGGGGAGAAAAAACTTCCTAGCGCGGCTCAAGGAGCCAACTTTCCTCGCAGTGAACGAGGCAATTGACTCGATGTATTTATTCCATCTCAGGTCAGCAATCAACGTGAGACCGAGAAGCCGCAGAGAGTTCCTCTCGAGAAGTAAAAAGAAAAAAACTTCCACTTAAATAGCTTCTTCCCTAGAACTGTCACTTTGTCGACCAAACTTCTATATGCTTCCCTGAACACTTCAGTCATGACGTCATTAAGTCGAGTGTCAATCATCATCGTTTCTCCTTATTCTCATAATCTTTACTTCTTACGGACTAATTTTTCAGACTTACGGCTATAGCACATTGAAACACCGGTTACCGTACGATCACCGAAGTTAAGCAACGTCGAGCATGGTCAGTACCTAGATGGGTGAACGCTTGGATGTGCAGGTGGCGTAAAGGATAAAAACTCAGAATTGTTAATCGGAGAGTCGAGTTTCAATTCCCGTTGGGTTCGATATATTCAGTTATGCGCTAATAACCTCACGAAAAGTATGAATCCACCTTTACTCCACCTCAGCAACGTTTCTCTACTCCAACTATGGTTCTCCACCCCAGCTATGGAGTAATTAGTAGGACAACCTAAAATATTTTCTGGCTTTAAATAATCTGCAAAAGGTTGATAAGCCGTAAAAAAATCAATCAATCAGTTTCATATCAATTTCATTTATATGATACAACTCATTTAGCATTACCATTTTGACTGTAACCCTCTACATTGAGTGGCTCTCTAGCCTGGTATTGGGGAAAATTTACTATAGAAATCTTCGATGTACACAAAGAGGATTGTTGGCATATATAATAAAGGTATAGAATATGTTGTAATTGTTAATACGTTTATATATGATTTACATGTGGTCGGGACATTGATTTTTTTGTGTCAAATATTTACAAAGGCAAAGAAACTCAAGCATATTTTAAGTTTTCTTTCGTTTCTTTCGGTCACTAAGTCCTGTAAGGAGACTAGCGGGTCTCTACTGGCTATTGTGAAAAGAGTAAAAAGATGCAGTTTTCGGACTAATTACCCCAAACGATAAAATAAATAAACTTATAAAAAATCATCTAACATCCTTTCTTCTCCATCTGAGTAAATACAATTTTACAAATCGTTATTCAAAAGATATCACTTCAAATCATATCAATTTATGCTGGCAATACTATAAAAATTTTATTTCTATTTAAAGAAAGAATTTAAAAAAAATGTCAAATTAAATGTAAGACCGTCAAGGTGTTGTTGTTTTTTTTTGTTTTTGTTTATTTACACGTCTTTTGAGAAAGGTGTATTTTTTGTAAGCCGGACGGTGTGTGTAAAAAGGAAAAAGCTGTGCGATTTTCATGACCATTTTGGATCAAGATTTGCCGCCAAATTTTTTGCCAAACTCTGATTTTCTTGTGTAAAATTTATGACCCTTTCGGATCGCGATTAGCCGCCAAAGGTGAAATTTTTAGAAGGGCCTTTTTTCATATATTGGCCAATGAAAATTGAGTTTTCGAGACCAGTAGAAAATTCCGGATGGCTCCAAGTGGAGCCGACTTTTTCAAATAAAAGAGAGGACATTAAGAAACGATCAGTAGAAACAAGAAAGAACGAAAGGGAACCGAGGCTGAGACGACCCGCAGTTTGCAGACCACTTAACACCCTCTCTCTACATTGACCGGCAAGTGGGCCATAAATCAGCCTTTCTCCAACTACCAAAACCAATCCGGCTGTCAACGAAAATTCTTCAAAGAAAGGAGAACCAACCTTTTTCCAAAACCAATCCGGCCTGCTATCAACGAAAATTCTTCAAAGAAAGGAGGTAGGTGCTTTGTGCGTTCTGCTAAGTGTTGGTCTCTCTAAAAACTTTATCCCTTTTATTGGTGTTTTTGTATTTTTTAAAGGGTCTAAATTTTCAAAAACTGGAGTTGGACTAAACAATTTATTTCATAGCTTGTTTCTGTGGGTATTTCCTTTTTAGAAACCGCAGGAAAATATTGTTATCCTGCCGTGTTAGGCGCACAGAAGGAAATTTTTGTGCAACCTTTCTTGTTCCTGTGAGTACCTTTGTGCTTATTGTAAAATAATTGTACAATAAATGTTTTTTCGTGTTTTTAAAATTTTACGCAGTGATTTGTCTTGTATCTTTAACTCGCGCTTACTAACGGCAGCTATCGTTTCTTCTGCCAACTAAATTTTTTGTGTCTGGCACAAGGAGTTGGTAGGAGAGTGAGAAGAAAAAAGAAAGAAACAAACAAAATTTTTATAATATACCCAGAAGGTAGTTATTAATGACCAGTCCTTCAGAGCCCTAATGTTAAACACAGGCGTCACCCAGAGGTCACTCCTCGGACCAACCATCTTTTTGATCTATATAAATGATCTGCCTAAGAATATACTCAGATCATTTGTAAACGTCTACACTGTTGATACGACTGTATATAGGCGTACTTCTAAAACTCTCTGTGGTCAGAAATTGGGGACTGATCTCTCTTCCGATCTTTCACAAAGTACCCAATGGGTTTAAAAACTGGTTGGTTAAATTCAATGTCTCGAAGACTACGCTGGTTACATTCCATCATCGCCGATCTGACCCCGAACTGCCACCCATCAGGATGAATGGAGGTCTTCTTGGGGAAGCACCTTGCCGTGAAAGACTGAACTCCAGTGGGATTCGTACATACAACCAATTGTTAAGGACGCAAGTAAAATGGTCGGCTCCCTGTACCGCCGCAGTAAGTACCTGACTCTTCTTGCTATCCTCTAACTTTACAAGAAGCAGAACAAGTAAAAAATGAAGTACTGTTGCCATATTTGGGTGGGAGCTACCAAGACCTCACTCTCCAGCCTTGATAGAGTCTAAAAGCGTCTCTGAGCGCTTGTGGGTGACGAATTATTCTCAACCCTTCAACCTCTCTCCCACAGGCGGGGTGTGGCAAACCTATCGCTACTCTACTGCTACTTCCATGAAAAGTGTTCGGACAAACTAGATTCCCTGGACCCGTCGAGGCAAATCTTCACGGTAAAAACACGCCATTCCACTTACATGGCAGCAAACGACCCACATGTCCGACATATTCCATCGGTGATAAGTAAGTTCCATTCGAACATTATCTTCCCGCGCACGACTGCTCTGTAGAACCGACTCTCAACAGGATGCTTCCCCGCTCACTACAATCTTAACCTGTTCAAGGAAAGGGTTAACCGTTATATTCCACTTCTATACGCACAAATAGCCTCCTAACGTAACCCTCTACCTCGAGTGGCCCTTTGTACAGGGTGAATGTTACTGTAAAAAAAAATATGGCATATTGGCAATTATTGTCATAATTTTAACTCGACGAGTGTTGAATCAAGTATATAACCTTAAATGCGAGAAAATTGTGGGCAAGAATTTTTCTTTATACTCTTTGTTTTGTGCAAGTATTAACAATTTTACATCAAGCATCCTCAACAGCAATAAAAGGGCAAAGAAAGTACATTAAATCAAAACTAATGACATAAAAGAATGTCTAAGATTAAATCTTTTCACTGCCTATTTTCACTACAGGAAATTTCTAGTCAAAGAATCAAATCAAATTTTCTTCTTTTAATCATTTTATTTTTCACCTCTTTTTTTTTCTTTATTCATTTTTATTTTATTTTCTTCTTATCCACTTCTTCTCCTCCTTTTTCTCTATCTCTTCTCTTTCTTCCTCCTCCTCTTGTTGTTCCTTTTCTTCATCTCCTTCTAATCATTTCTTCTTCTTCTTCAATCTTCTTCTTCTTCTTTTTCTTCTTCTTCTTCTTCTTCTTCTTCTTCTTCTTCTTCTTCTTCTTCTTTTTCTTCTTCTTCTCCTTCTTCTTCTTCTTTTTCTTCTTCTTCTCCTTCTTCTTCTTCTTCTTCTTCTTCTTCTTCTTCTTCTTATTATTATTATTATTATTATTATTATTATTATTATTCTACTTCTTTTCATCTCCCGTCCCTTCTCTTCTATTATTAGTATTATTATCCATATTCTTCTTCTTCATCTCCTTCTAATCATCTCTTCTTCTTCTTCTTCTTCTTCTTCTTCTTCAGCGAATTAATATTTTGAAATGTCAAATAAATGAAAGCGATCAAGCGGATTTTCCTAGAAATGGTTTGTCTTTAAATGTTTCCGAAAACACAAAAATGTTGTCATTAACTTTCTCTCTCGCTGATCACGTCTAATTTTTTATTATTATTTATTCATTTATTTATTTATTTTGTGTATTATTTGTCTGTATTTTTTTATGTCGAAAAGGTCAGAAGGAAAACAATTAAGAGAAATCTTCCAGCAACTTGGAACGAAAATAATTATACGAATTTGTGCAATTTAAGGCATGCGGGAGACTGTCACACGTATGCAAGAAAACTAGAGCCCCTATCCACGTTTACGTGAGACAGTTTAAACATGCCCGAGTTTATTTCTTAATTTAAAGAAAAAGAAATAACCAAAAGATCTATGCTTCACACATAATTACAGAAACTATATAGATATATTCAATAATTAATAAACCCTCACTTGCACAATTCTCTCACACAGTCACATATATACATATGAGCATATACACATGGGAAAAGACAAGAACATATACACAATTACATAAATAAACACATTTAAAAGCGCGTATGCACACATAAATACACAAAGCACACACACAAAATCTAAATGCATGAGAATATTTTGTAATCAATATTTTTACTCAAGGAAACAGCTGCAGTTGGCGTTATAATCAAAAGCAAAGGTTTTCTTTACGTTTTTCAAATTATCCATTCCTATTTCCCTTCTACCAATGGTTGTCATTTGTTATTTGCTTCTAAGGAGGAATATTAGCTTGAAAACATATATACACATCAAAAAATTCAGAACTTGATAAAATGTGAATAAACTTTAGGGTAAGACTGGAAGAAAACTCCAACAAAAACTACGCCCCACCTTCTAAGGAGGAATATTAAGAGACTAATAAATTGAGAATAGGGCAAGAGTCGGTGAAGTTCCACCCTCGGGTTGTAAATCTGCAAAAAAGAAAACTCAAGCAACAATAAATTAAAATCTAAACTTCTACTTTCTAAGGATGACTTTCAACGACTAATAGAAAGTGAATAGATTTTAGAGTAAATGTCAGTGAACCGCCTACACTCAGCTAATATTCCAAGAAGAAAACTCCAACAAAAAACCCACGCTTTATACCAGAATAGCTCAAGAAAACGAAGATTAAACTGAACGCCAAATATCCCAAAGCTCAATCCTATTTATGGGAAGTGCTGGTTAGAAAGTTTGCTCACGAAAACTTCTATAACATAAATTAAATCATTTATATAAACGATCTACTGTTAGCGTCCTTGTAGAATCCATCCCTGACTGACTAGGAGCTGTTTTATGGGCATATATATAATGGACTCTCCCGTCGGCTTCG